TGGGTGCGTCTGTGCTCCCGCGTGTGTGTACCTGTTTGAAACAGCAGTGCAGTTTAGAGAGGCGATAATCGGGTGTTCCTAATGTGGCCACATTGGTGTGAGATATCTCACTCCCGGTATCACGTGTACAAAACAAGACTGAGTGGGTACCATTGATTCGTCTCTGCTGGGAATGGACAACGATGCGGTGGACGCTACAATGATTTTTAATTCGCAGCTTACAAACAGTTAGCCTACGCTGTGCCGCTATGCTTACACAAGTAAAAAGCTCACACTGGGCAGCGAAAATAGAAAGCGTTGCTTTTTTTATTCTGATTCACACGGGATTCCTGCAAACATTCCACTCAATTCTGTCAAATCGTGAACGCAGTTGTACCCCCCGCCCTTCTCCGCTGTACGAATATTCTCAAAATTCGACACTTTGTAGAATGTCATACTGCCTGCGTGAATTGTGTATTTAACGTTTACGGTAATTCGCGAAGCATTCCAATTACTGATCCATATTTTACTTGCAGAACAGTATTCGCCTCGGAAAAACTTCTGGACCGGTGTGCATTCCGGAATTGTTCCCTAATGGCAATTGTCAGTTGTCGTACTTGTTAAGGCTAGATCAATCAAACTATGGTCACAATAATCCCGTTTACATAAAATCAGTGTGTTCCATGTCTGAAGCTCAGTGAACGGTTCAAAGTTCTTTCGGAACGAGAGTTACAGTGTATAGATTATGGCAGACCTGTGGATAAGCCATCCGGTGATATGCTGCAAGTTTTCAACGATGTTTTTTTTGTGAGCTCGTCCGCGCACATTGTTTTTCCGAACGACACTGCAAATCGAATTCCATATGGGAGTAACAATCAAATAACGGGCAATAAATCATTCCTAANTTGATTTAAACTTTGTTTACTTTCCGCGTACAAATAGACAACCTGGATGTGTTTGTTCCACATTGAGCCTTTTTGTTCGCAGCTTTGAAACTTAACCGGTTATTTTGATGACCAATGAATACACTCAACTATACACCTCGATCAGTCTTGCTTTACAAACCTAACCACCCGAGTGTGATAGCCCACCACAGTACGGGAGGGGGCAATGTCAACGGAATATCGTCTTGCTCTAGTTCGCTGCTATTTTAAGAATGTGTACATACTGGAGGACACAAACGTACTGACTGATCAGTTTAGTACTCGTCTGACTGATCGTAAGCTCTTGATTCTTTCTCTTCATATCGGGAAACGCTATTCGTCTCCGGCTTACGACAGATGTGAGAATAAACACGAGAGGTTTTCAGAAACATAGACCACTTAAAGTCAAAATACTGACAGATAATGAGGGACACCGGGAACGTACCACTGAGTCGACTGAACAGCCGTTGTCTGGCCTCATTTGAAGCACGCGATGTGCGAATTTTTTCAATCCATTGATGTTCGGGATCATCGTTCATGACCAATTCTTGAACAAAACCGATTAGATACTCCATAGTAAATCCATTGGGAACACCAGAACCTGAGATCAAGGAGAAAGCGATAGATTGCCGAAGCAATGTGGCATTTTGGTGACGTCTCTTTAAATATTACTGATTTTTCAACTGTGTTCTTATTATTGGTTGTTTGCTCGGACCAGGGCAGGAGAAGAGTGCTCGGAAATTCGCAACAAACTCTTACATTTTAATCTTGAGCAATATCTGTGATATTCAGCACCTCTGATACCACAACTGAGCACTTGCGCAGAACCGATGTCATTCACCAGCGAATGAGTATGGAGTCTACCTGTTTTATTGAAAATCACTGTGCGATAAAAAATGAAACCCCGATGGGAGGAGCTGTGTGCAAATTTATGAAATGACCGAAAAGTGTTTTGCAGGACTACACGTATAATGAAGAAACAGGGGAACAGAGGCAGCTCTCTGGAAACCCACTGAGGACGACAAATCAGGATGGTGAAGGTCTAGCGGTTAAGATCACCAACTGATCGCGCCGAAGGAGCAGTGTTCGAATTCTACCGCGGCACCGCCGCCGCCGCCCAACCTTCCCTCATTTTCTATGCACCGAGTGACAAGGGTTTAATTGGTCACTTCCCTTTCCTGAAAATTGTTTGTACAATTATAGTCAAATTCCTGCTTTGTCGCACTCCCCCGGGAATTCGAAAAAGTGGGTAAATTTCACGAACTGCGACACAGCAGGTTAGTCATTAGTAAATGATATTATGTAGTGCGAAAAATTAATTGGGAGTTTTATGAAGAAATAAATCGGATCGATGAAAAGTTCGTTACTTATTCGCATGCTTATAATAATGTATTGTTTATTTATTGAGTATATATATATATATATCTTGAGTATATGGCATCCAACACAATATAAAACTGCTTTAGCTATAATGATCACAACATCAATATTAACCCATTCAACAAAAATAAGAAAGAACCAGATCGAACACAGAACAAAAAATCCCATTCGAAATAAATCGCGTCATCTAAAATAAGTGAAATATCTGTTACGGGTATTGTCTGTACATTGACTCCTTTCCCACATTCCAAAGTGATTGCTCGCTGTGCAATTTATTTGATTTTACGGTGAAAAATTTGTAGTATTAGCCCTCTACACATCTATTCGTTGGTTCGCCAGTGCATGTTCAAACAGACCGATGCATCAATTACGGTCAGCGTCGGCAAACATGGGTGACGTGATTCACAGATTAGAAGTGCGTCGCTCAAATAGGCAGGGGCGCGCAGACCCGGGTTACAATGACCTTTGGCTAATGACCTGTCTAATTTCATCGGTGCTCTAGCAAGGACATGTACGATTGTCGTTCACATGGCGTTTATCGATCGCTTGGATCTGAAATCTTACTCCACACACCCGCTCATCAGTCAATCGCG